TGGTGGTCTGTGTTCTCCATCCTCTGCTTCAGCTCCTTCATCAATGAAAGCAAACGCTGCTTCCATGTTCAACCTGCTTCTCCTGTAGAAAAGAAGCTAAATTAATCTACAGAATTTCCTCGACACCAAGTTTAAATCTGGAGCAGGATGTTGTTCTAATAGTCATCTTGGTCTCTCTGTGTTCTGCCTGGGAAGCTTGAGTTGTCTGTTTGTCGTGTTAATAAAGGCTTACTGTAGGTGTTTTCCTCTGTGCCGTCCTCAGGTGGGGACTAGGAGGCTCCTCAGCATCCTGGAGGTCCCGGTTCCTCACAGCACTTCTGATTTTGGACGTCCACAGTTCCTGGAAACACATGAAAAACTAAGTGAGGCCACCTGAAATGTTGACTTTATGTTTAAATGATGGATTATTGCGTCTCCTTACTGAATATGCTCTCACTGTTTACGGCTCCTCTGGTTTGGTCGCCGTAGATCTCATCAGCATCTTCTGACGGCCCAAAGCTTGCAGCGGCTCGGTCCGACATGGGATTCACAGACACAGAAGAGATCCACTGCGGTCAGAACTGGCCTAGATCATATGGAGAGTATTTCTGCACAGGGTTCTTTCCCTTAAACTAGGCCTGAAAACTAACTGAGGAACATCTAGAACTAGATCAACTCACAGCTGAAAGCGGGATCTAACAGTCGGCGCCATTCACAATCCACATCTCTAAATCAGTCCTGTCCTCTGCTTCAAACTACTCTGAAATCAATGAGTCCCTCCAAGCATCGTCTTTATCTTCTCACCATCATCCCAGAGACCAGTGCAACTGGTGACCACCGCAATCTTTTCCACTGTTCTATTCTAGATCCAGTTGGTCTCCAGCAGCATTGTCCTTCTATAGATCAGGGCTTTCCAGCTCCACTCCTCCAGAGCTGCTATGCTGCAGCTTTTAGTCACATCTTTTCTCCTTCAGACCTGAATCAAACGTCTGAATTCCCTCATCAGTCATTCAGCTCTGTAGGGTTGTTTGATCCTGGTGTTTTGGAGGATAGATGCACCGGAAAGCTGCAGAAAAGCTGCTGTAGAGGACTGGAGTCAGAGAGCTCTGCTCTAGAGAGCTTCTAATCCAGGGATCTCAAACTGGTTTCAGAAAGGGCCATGTGGCTGCAGGTTTTCCTTACAACCAAGCATTTGCACACCAGACTCCAGTCATCTCATCAAGTGAGTCCAGTCTGATCATGATGACTTGATGAGATGACTGGAGTCTGGTGTGCTAAATCCCATATGTCAGGACAACAAAGCGGTGTGTGTGTTAAAGATTAGGCATTGCTTTTCTAAATTATATATATTTTTCCAATGCTATTGTATTCATAGAGCAAACTCTTATTTGTTCTCTCTGCAAAACTTCACTGCACATTTGACAAATGTTACCCCATCCCTTAATCTGTTTGCTGGACAAACTGGTTGATTGGGTTGACTGCTAAATCTTTACATTTTAAGCATTAGCAATAAACATCAACCATAAAGATCACTTTGCTCAGATGATTAAAAGGTTTGGGCTCCCCGTTTTCTCCCTGACAACTGCATGGAAAAGCTATTAGTTTTAAAAATTAAATGTCTGTTTAATCCACCTGTGTGAATCATCCTCTTCTCTTATCCTATGTGTCTGTGCTCCTGTGAGGTTTAGCTGGGATTTGAGTCGTCGGGAAACTTTTCTATAGGGAGGAATGAAGCCTGATGGAGAGGTTTAGAAAACTGTCATGATCTAAAATATTCCAGGTAATTGGGATTGGTTTTAAATTCTAGGGGGGGAAGACAAACAAGAAAGACACTACGATATACCAAATTTATGCTATAAAAACATACATTTAATTCAGTCTAATACCCAGATTGTGTTATAGGCCAACAAAGCTGTGATACAAGGAGGAAAATCTAAGCAGATATAATATCTGTTAATGAGTTCATAATTCTGTACAAAAGCAAGCAGCTCCTATGGAGGGCAGGAAGTAAACCCAGCATCATTCATCCAATACCTACAGCAGCCTGACAATGTACAATTTAAAAAGATTTACCATACAATTTAACCTCTGTGTGTAATTTAACCTCTGTGCAAATCCAGCTGGTTTTTAAAGGCCTCATAGGTTTGTTAAAGAACATTAGTGAATAAACAGCTCAAAGAAAACAGTAGAGGGGTCAGGGAAAAGTTAGGTAGGGACTTAAATCCAGATTAGGGTAGAGATCTTATCATGGGAGGGGAACGTTTTAATTAGGAAAAATCCAGTGTCACTGCATGCTCATGCAGGAGGAGCGAAACCTATAAAGCCGATGACTCTATGCTTCAGCTGAGATTCCTTAGAGAATTTTTCTATTCCGAATTTATAAGATTTAATTTCCATATTTGTTCTGAAACCAGCAGAACCAAATTAGATACAAAGATGGACATGAACTAAAATATGCATTAATCATTTCCTACTAACCTCAACAAGAAACTATTGAAGAACAAAATGTGTTGCTTCAGGAGCAATCAAAAAATAAAATGTTTTCTTCTGATGGATTTTACTTTTTAAAATCTTTCAAGCTTCTACAGAAATATGAGTAACTTAGAAGTTATTTAAAAACATTGTATTTAAACAACCTTGCTGCCCTTTGCTGCTGATCCACCAGAAATGTCCTACTGCAGGATAAGTTACTATAGTTGTTACTACTGGCCAGTAGGGGGCGTAACTGAATACTGCTTGAAGGCTTCTGATCTTTAGAAAGAATAGAATATATCAGGTGAGTTCTCCTATAAGCCAGGATAATAACGACCCAATTACAGAGGCTTAAGGAAGTGTATTGCATTCACCAAACAAAAAAAAAATCAGACAGCTTATCTCATAATTTTTATAGGTTGGTGCAGGGACAGATCTAGATGGGGGGCCAGGGGTGGCCATGGCCACCCTCAGCCAATCATTAGCCACCCATACCATTTTCCCCCTTCAAACGCAGATGGAGGTAGCAGTAATACTCTCAAATGGAATATTCAAAGCGTTTAAATTTTTGGTGGTTAATGATACACATCAATATACTAACATCAAAGATGACAAATACAGAATTCATGCTCTTTTCAGAACTAAAGTTTGTGTTATATGGAGTAAAGAGAAAACGTGTCTCTGCAAGTCATCTGGGAGTCTTCAGTGAAATCATAGGTGAATAAAACTGTTGATAAAAAACTTATCAAATAATAATATTAATACATGTAAATATCAATTTATGCAGATTGTATGTTGATACAAGTAGGTCAGTAATGACAATGGAAAAGATTTATGCCCCAGATCTCAAAACTGAACGAATTTTATCCACTATACCAGTGGTCCCCAACCATCGGGCAGCGGACCGGTACCGGTCCGTGGGTCATGTGGTACCAGGCCGCACAGAAAAAAGTATATATAATTGATCAGAGTCTGAGAGATGTTTTATTTTGAAAAATACCGTATAAAAAATTGCGGTATTCTCTCCCAGTTACATCAGTCGGTGCATCTGTGCGTCTTGACACAGGTTAATTCAGTTCAAGACTCATCTTATCTATAACAACCTATCTTTGTGAAGCAGGATTTTCTGCGGTTACAGCGACCAAAACAAAGCTACGGAGCAGACTGGACATCAGGAGCACACTTCGTCTGTCATTTTCTCCGATTACGCCTAGATGGGACCGGCTCGTTGTTTTATCTTCATGCTGTTTGTATTTGATTTTATGCCAGTCGTATCATTTTACTTGATCGTATCCGTCAACCCACCCCGGCCGGTCCGTGAAAATATTGTCTGACATATAGAGGTCCGTGGTGCAAAAAAGGTTGGGGACCGCTGCACTATACCTTTTATTTAAAAAGTTGATTGGCCTTGAGGTTCTGATGCCTTTCCGCTTTTGGCCACCCCTCAGTGTGCATTGGTTATTGCCTGGCCACCCTCATAAAAATGCTCTTTCTCGCCTCTGGGTTGGTGATGTCTTAGAATGGACACATCAGCTGCTTAATCTGTAGTTTTAAACCTCCTGTTATGGTTTTCAGTTGGTAATGTTGTATCAGAGACATGCTAGATGTGTTACATCCCCTGAGCAAAAAGAAAATGTCAACCATTTTATAATAGGTTTGACATTTATTATTCTTTCATTGTTTTATTTTAATGGTTTCAATAACAAAATGAAAATGAGATTTCCTCAAATGAAAAAGCGCGTTGTATTTTTCTTCTATTTCCATTATTTATGGCCTAACTTAAGCGACTTGGATGTGAAATGAAGGGATCATAACTATGTGTATTCCCTTTAGTGAGCAAAATAGAAAAATCAGGGGTTCCTTGGGTCCTGTTTTCTCTTAAAAACGTGATTTGTTGTATAAATACCATTAATTTAAACCCACTTACTTAAAAAATATATATTTGGTAGCCACAGCAGAGGCATTAAAATCAAAAGTATTATGGATGTCAACTCCTTTAGAGTCCAGAGTATGGATTAATAAAATAAACATTGGCATCAAAGATGGCAGGAACTTTGGTCCTTTGTGCTACTTTTCATTTCTATTAGTCATTTCACAGAATTATTTTCTCCTATATTTTTTTTTTCAGGCAAAGAGTTTATTATTATGTTTAAGATCAGTGGGAGAATTCACGCTGATAGGAGCCGGCTGCCAGAAACCCAAGTCTTAAAATAATAAAATTGTATAAAATATTCAGAAAATAGACCAAAAGTCCTAATAAGCAGCCCTCAGTGGTGGATATAAGATTTATTTACGGGTAAAAACTGTTGGATATCGGCTTCATCAGCCTAATATATTGTGACATGTAATAATCTCAATAGACACATGGATTATTTTAGATCTTTTTGTCGACCACAGCATTAAAGCCATTTTTGACCAAATTAAAGATATGATTTAATATATTTTATTTAGAATTTAAGCTGATTTCTAAACATGTTTTAGTTTATGCAACAGTTCCTAATGTATAATTTAGTTACGGTTCACCAGTGCAAGCATAAATCACACTGCAGTTTAAATAAAATGATAACTTTATTTCAGACAATCCAGGACATTTACAAATTTAACAAATCAAATAAAATGACATGGTTAACTTTTTGTTTATGTCTGAAAACAGGTATGAAGACATGAAACTGATTTAACCTCACCCCATCTTCCTATTACATGAACCAGAGTAAACATGAGGGGGCTGCACAGTTTTTCCTATGTTTGCACATTTAGCAGACGCTTTTATCCAAAGCGACTTACAAAGAAGACACAGTTTTACAGTTATCATCAATATGAAAATACGTTCCCTAGAGAAAAACTCCCTAGTCAGAAGCAGTGGTGACAGCAAAGAGAGAAAGAAATACAGGAAGAGTAGTAGAGAGCTACAGAGCTATGGGTAAGAGTTAGGATAAGAGATGCTCTTTGAAGAGAGGGGTCTTTAGGAGTTTCCTAAAGATAGAAACGGACGCTGCTGTTCTTGTAGATCATTCCAACATCCTGGAACCACCCATGAAAACACTGGATTGTCCATTGCTGACCGGAATGCCCAAGTTGTTACATACAGTGGGGGGAAAAAGCTGATTTTGCAGGTTTGCCCACTTACAAAGAATGCAACAATCTACAATTTTAATCATATATACATTCTACATCCCAAAGAAAATTCCAGAAATTCACATCATATGAATTTATTAAAATTGATAACCATCTGATGAGGAAAAACAAGTATATGACCCCCTACCAAACAGCAGGTATTCTGGCTCCTACAAGCAAGTTAGTCTTTCTTTAAGACGCAGCCCCAATCCCAACCAATTATCTACATCAAATACACCTGCCTCACCTCGTTACCTGTATAAAAGACACCTGTCAACACCCAAACAACCAGCATCCAACATCACCAACATGGGCAAGACCAGGACATCAGGGACATCAGGGACAAGATTGTTGATCTGCACAAGGCTGGGATGGGCTACAAGAGAATCGGAAAGCAACTTGGAGAAAAAAGATCAACTGTCGGTGCAGTTATCAGGAAATGGAAGAAGCACCACACCACCGCCAACCTCCCTCGGTCTGGGCCTCCACACAAGATCTCGCCTCGTGGGGTGTCCCTGATCATGCGAACGGTGAGGAATCATTCTAAAACCACAAGGGGGGAACTGATGAACCAACTGAAGGCAGCTGGGACCACAGTTACAAAAGAAACGGTTGGTAACACACTACGCCGTCATGGATTGAAATCCTGCAGCGCACGCAAGGTCCCCCTGCTGAAGAAGAAACATGTACAGGCCCGCATGAAGTTCGCCATTCACCACCTGGACGACTCAGAAGAGGCCTGGAAGAAGGTGATGTGGTCAGATGAGACCAAAATAGAACTTTTTGGCCTCAACTCAACTCGTCGTGTTTGGAGGGCAAAGAACACCGAGTACAACCCAAAGAACACCATCCCCACCGTCAAGCATGGTGGTGGCAACATCATGCTTTGGGGGTGCTGTTCAGCCAAGGGGACGGGACAACATTGATGGGAGGATGGATGGGGCCATGTATCGTGGAATTCTGGACCAACAACTCCTTCCCTCAGTGAGAGAGCTGAAGATCGGTGGAGGATGGGTGTTTCAGCACAACGTCTCTAAGCACACCGCCAAAGCAACAAAAGAGTGGCTGAAGAAGAAGCAGATCAAGGTTCTGGAGTGGCCTAACCAGTCTCCAGACCTGAATCCAATTGAAAATCTTTGGAGGGAGCTTAAAATTTGAGTTGCCAGGTGACAACCTGGGAACCTGAATGATTTGGAGGCTGTCTGCAGGGAGGAGTGGGCCAATATCCCTGCCAACATGTGCACAAACCTTGTCAGCAACTATAAAAACCGTTTGACATCTGTGCTGGCCAATAATGGCTTTTCTACAAAATATTAACATGCTGTTTGTCCAGGGGGTCAAATACTTCTTTGCAAGAGGGTTCAAGTAGACGGGGTCGATACCCTTAAGCACCTTGTAGGCTAGCATCAGCAACTTCAGAAGTCCAGTAATATAAAATATGTGATGAAAATATCAATATTTTAACATCATTCCATTAAGAAAAACTCTGAAGATAAAGGTATGATCATCAGCCAAGAATAAATGTAAGGAACATGTTTTTCTTTTGGGTTCAGGGCATTCAGACATCACTCTTTGTCCCGGCTGTGTTGCTGGCCTTCCCTCCACTCTGTTATAAGGCGGTGAGCAACGGCATGTTTTGGAGGCAGCCAGACGGTGGGCGGGTCATTTCTCCTGGGTGGAGCCTTTACCTGTAGAGCGCAGGTGATTTCCTCCTCAGTGAACCATCGAGCGTCCTCCAGCTCCGAATGGTCCACATTCAGCTGCAACAAACAAAAGGACACATAAAACTAGTTACACACTGCAAAACAATCTAGAAATAAGCACCTTCATTTGAGTAGGTAGGTAAGATTGGAACAATGGAATCAGCATTTTTACTCTTATACTTTAATATGCACTTGAAATAAGACAATGCAAATGCTTTTTCTTACCTCACTCAATTCAAGAAAAAATGCACTTAAAAATGCAATTATTTCAACAAAAAATAACTTATTTAGATTTCATTTTTTTTGCAATGCAGCTCAGCAACATGCCCAGGTGTTTCCCAAAATTCACTCCTCTTGCTGAACATTCTGTTAGCTCATTGAATGAAGAGCTTAAAGTGTTGACACAATATTGACAATTTTCCAGTGTTTTTATAGACCAAAAAATGTTAACACAGAGCATTTATAGGTGGCCTGCATAAAATTATTTTTTATCAAAACAAAACACTGTCATTCAGTCGACCGCAGCGCTGCTTAGTGACTGAGGGAGAAAGCAGAAGTGACGTATGCAGGAGAAAGACAGAGAGCTGGAATAGTGGTTTTGTTATGGACTGCTGCTAAAGTTTTCATGGATTAGGATACAGCTATGGCTTCACCTTGTGTCGCAGCTTTTTGCTTCAGTCTGAGTAAGGATAAGGTCTGCTTAAATTTGTTTCCTAAAGATCCTGAGCTGTTTTTAAAGTGGTTGAAGTGCGATAGATGAGACTGGTTGGAAGTTGGAGCACTCCACGGTGTCTCGTCTGTGCTTGAAATATTTTGAGAAGGACGTGTTTTTTATTTTGTTCCCTGATTGTAAATGTTGCTTGGATGTTCAGTGAAACCTTAAGGTGGGCTTTCAAAAAAAAAAAAAAACTTAAAAAACAATCCACTGGACTTTGTTTTCCAAGTTGGAAGATGTTTTGCTTCCCATCCAGAAAGCTTTTTTAATTCAAAATGTCAGGAGCAGTATTGAGTTTCAGGCTTATATAGAGTATATAGAGTAGCCCAAACAAAAGCCTTGTTATGGCTTAGAAAGGCTGCAATTTGAACCGAAAATAAGGTCCACCTCTTAGTAATGGGGAGTCGTTAGCGTCGTCGTTGACATGCGAAATGTTTTTACCCCCTGCATGGCCCCGCCCTTTTACAGAGGCATGGGCCAGTATCAGGTATTGCAGGCCAACGACCTCAACGACTCCCCATTACTAAGGGGTGGACTTGTGTTTTGGTTTAATTTCCATCTTTTCTAAGCGAGGAAGCATTTTTTTGTTTGTTTTTTTTAGGTTGTTTTTGGGCTGGAAACAGGCAGATCTGACAACCCTGGCAGTGAGGGAAGGATGGAGTTGCTAGCTATACCTTTAAGAATATAGTAGACAATTTCTTGTGGCAGCGGTGGAGGATTAATTTGAAAATCATGTTAATTTAAAGACTAATATAGTAATTTATATTTTATACACTAATAACTGGTTATACTATCTGTACAGAGCTGTTTGTTTTTTTATCGGGGCTGCTGTGCTCATATTAGCTGTCACCCTCCGGTTCAGAGTCTGACTCTGTAGGCTAGAGGTCCGCTCTGGATGGTTCTGACCCGTAAGCTGTGATGCCTCCATATTCCTCAGAGTCACTACCTTCTCCTGAGCCTCGACTGACTAATGGTTCAACCCCACCAACCGGTGTTTGACTGGATGTTTTGGAAAAATCATCAGTGTTTCTGTCCATGTCCATTATAGAATGCTGAGCTACCTCCAAAACTGTTCTCCTTCTAATGTCTCAACATGGAGATGGGTTTTTATCAATCCGAGTTCTGCTGTGGCGCTACTAAATCTAGGATATTAAAGTTAAAAATAAGCCTGTTTGATTCCTAATAACTCAGAAGCACCTGGTATGTCCAGCTGCATGACTTTGATGCAAAATTAGATTAAATCAATATCACACCATCAACACTTAAAACACTAACAGAATCTATCTGTTTTATTCTGATTCGGCTTTTTATTATATATACAATAAATAGTGTTTCCACATTGGTCTTTAAAAGTTTGAGTCACCTGAGAGTGGGCGGGGCTAACAGTGGCATGGCAGGCCAGCATGAAGGAGCTATGTGGGAATGGCCAGTGCTGGGAGGAGCTGTAGGCAATGTTCTGCACTTCCAGACCAACTTCTTCTGCCACCTCCCTGTACAACGCCTCTTCCAGAGTCTCCCCTTAAAGCAACACATACTCATGTGTTAAATATTAGTTTACTTTAGGTGATAACTTGGTGAGTTAGCAACAGGAAAGACTCACCCATGTCACAGAAGCCAGCAAGGGCGCTGTACAACCCTGGAGGAAATGATGACTGACGACCCAACAAGCAGCGTTTCCCATCAGATACCAGGACGATGACCACTGGAGACATCTGCCACAAATCAGACCCGTTAAATAACAAGGAAGTTCAACTTTTCACAAACCAATTGGAAACTGGTCACTTGTTAGACAAACACCTGTAAAGAACCCAGTGAGAAACAGGTAGAACAAACAGTTAAAAAACATTTATGGAAATCCATGTATGGTTTGGATCTTTGTTCTTTTTAGTGTGAAAATAAAAGCATATGAAATTAAATTAGAAAAACAACCATTCCAAAATCAAAATGGTTAAAATAAAGACATGTAGATCAAACAATGGGCCTTTAAAGACATGAAAACAGACTTGAGGTTTACCTTCCAGCGAGACAGCATTGCTAAACATTTACCAAAGACTACAAGGGAATGGTTTAAGTTAGGGTTTGTTAAAGTGTGGGGGGTGCCCCCTCCTCTAGGAGGCACCACAAAGAGCTTGAGGTACAACATAAGAAAAAACCCAGAGAAATAAGTAAGTTAGCTCATTAGCTAACCTGGGGTGGACGTATCAATGTGGCAAACTAACAGAATCCAACATTTTGTGACATTCCTGCACCTTTAAAGCCAAACCCACTGCAAGTGACATGGCTATGCTGAATGCCAAATGGCTTCTCTAACTAAACTGTGACTTTGATGACAGTCAAACAGTTGAAAAACCCAACCGATGACAACAGCAAAGCTCAAGAATCAAATAATGCTGAATAAATACTGGGTCAGAAGACAAAAGTATTGTGGACTCCGATACAAGCAGGTTTTATCTGAAAAAGGCCACCTTGGTCAGACTAGCACTATGACGGCTAACATAGCAAAGGGAGTGAAATTCAATATGGAGGAGTTAGAAGACTGCAAAAAGAAGGTGGCAAACCTGGAGGTAGATGATGGAGCAAAACTAAAAAAAGAGTGAGGTTAAAGAAAGAACAATGGTACAGGATGCAGGATGGTGTCTCCGGCTCTGGTTTAAGCTGAATAAGATCCAGAGTCCTGAAGCCCTTTCAACCTTATCCTGAGCCAGAAGACAGTTCTGGGGATTAGGAAGACTTTCTGCCTGTCTCTGGTAGCAAAGAAATCTCAGTCGTCAATCACTATACAGTTTTTACCCTGACAACCCACATTGTCCTACAGGGACTCTTGCTGGTTCACCCCTTAAACCCCCATAACCGAGACTTGATTTTTTCTCAAAGACATTTGCATATTACTAGAATTTTGACTTTTTATTGGGCTGAATGAGAAAAGAAACAAGCAACTATCAGAGCCCCGCTGCAGTTTTCTTAATGCCATGGAGTTGAAGATATGATCATACACCTGCCTCAAAGAACCCATTATAATATATACCAGGCAGGCAGCACTGTTCTTTGAGTTCTTTCACAAGGGTCGGTCTGATTTTCTTTCCTAGAAACTCCAAAAGATTGCGGTAGAGACATCAAGAATTGCCTGAATCAAAGACTACCTACCAAACAGACCGCAGATTGATAAACTGAAAATTCAACTGTTTGACCAAAAAGTCAGCAGCACCGGAGCACAACAGGGGACGTTAATCTCACTAGTTCTTTCTATCCTACCTCTTTTAGGTTTTGTTCAATTTGTATAAATTTGTTCTGATATATTTCAGTGGTTTTCTACAATGCATGAATGTTAGTTTAGGCCTTATCCCATCATTGCATTGTTTGAATATTCTTTGGCTATGCTCACACTGCAGGCAAATGCTACCTAAATCTGAAAATTTTGCCAATAGGCAACACATGTCCGCCTTTCTCATGAAAGTCTGAAGGGCGTGACTTTGAAATTTTCATTACTCACAAACTCCAAATGACCCACTTTCTTATGTGGTAGTAATACAGATATGTACCTGATCGGTTACAAAGTACCTGCTGCCGAACTGTCGTCCCGCATTTTATTTAAATTTTACATCACACCATGGCTTGCACAACACTACCAAAAGGCGAATCACTGCAGGAGCAATCACAGTTGCTTTAAAGTCATTGGAAAACTGCCGCCGCATTTCCAAATTCTCCTGATTGGTGCACGGTTTTACACGAGTAAATAAAGTGAATGTGATTGGTCGTTTATCAAGGGGGCAGGAATGTTGTGGCAGAAGGTTTGCAAGCAAGTTTGGTTGTGGCCGGTGTCTCGGAAGCATCTTGCTAACCAGTTAGCAACTTAGTGCTAGCAGGTTCCCAATGGGAAATTCCTTTGGGAACGAGTAGCAATAAATTGGTGACTTAGAAACGACGCTGTGAAGGAACGCTATGGACAGAGGAAACATGCAAGAGGAGGAGAGTTTAGTGTCGGAGGTCGTGGATGAGTCTCCTCCGTCATCCATTTTTTATTTAGAGGAGGAAAGCGGGGACGAAGATGTTGTGGAAGAGGACGCCAGGGCGGCAGAAGCTTGGTTTGGTGTAGAAGGCTTCCAGTCGTACATGTTTGAGCCCTTGCCTCGCAACGCTGCCAGTTCTGTTAGCTCTACGCATGCTGAAGACACAGACGTCCATCTGAACACTGGGACGCAACTCAGTGGGAAAGGAAATGATTCTGATTTCTTATTTCAACCGTTGCGTATATTAGCTCCGACATATGAATCAAGATGCTATGACCGAAAAAATGTGATTGACAGATGACCTTTGATATATGTTCAGGCTGACGTATAACTAACTGGCCTGCATAAGATAACGACAAAAAAAACACAGATTTAAATTTTCTAAATTTTGGGACAATATAGTCTGATAAAGAGTACATTAATATACATGTTTACGCCAGAATTATTTAACATTTAAATATGATTTCCCTATGACTTTAATAATGTCTTTTGTTTTCTTACCTTCCCTCTTTGTTAATGATTTGGTCATGATACCGTCAGCTCACAATGCTCAGTAGTTTGGAAACACAGATTCACCAGCATTCCCATTCAATGTTGTTTTCTCAAAATCCAGAGAAATTTAGAAACGATTTTACAGCCATTCTTGGACCTATTAGATTGCAGGCCCCTAAGTCCTCCTGATATGAGATCTTGCAACTCATCCCCTGCCTTTTTTTCTTACATTTATATGAACTATATGGATTAAATTGCACTTCTATACTAGTGAAGATAGTCAACGGGAACTGCCCTGCCTCTCGATGGCAAGTCCATGCCTGGTCCCAGTTAAACCTTTTAGTTAAAGAAAGATTCTGACCCAGCTAGCTCTGGTTTAACACCTTTGGGTAGTAGATGATAGAACTGCTGCTGCAGCTTCTCTGGCTACCAGCCTGGTTCCGTTGGGTCGGTTGCCCTGTAGCTCCACAGAACTTGTTAATCTGGTGCCATCGGAGCAAAGCCTGGGCCTGCAAGAAAAATAGATTTCAGACCTTATTCTAGAAAACATGAACAAGTTCCTGACTGTCAAAAAAGACAGAAGACACGAGTTCAGCTGCAGTTACTCACCTTGGCAACTACAGGTGCATCAGCGCCAGCTAGAAGAAAGAAAGCTTTTCTGAGTTCCACGAATGTTCCTTTACATTTCTCTGCTATAGCTGCTTGATCCAGTTCTCCTGGAAACAAACCAGAAGATGTCAACAGAATTCCAAGAACTTAATCAGGCACAAAATTGCTCAAAGTCTGTCATAATAAAATAATAAGTTCTTACCCACATCCAGACAGAACTGAGCCTGGTTCTTCTCAGAACAGCCAATTAGAATGGACTCCTTTAGCAAGGATCCATCTGAACCAGCGCTCTCCAGGACTGACTGGACCTCTAAAAGGTAAAGCTAAAATTAGATCAGGATTTATAAACAATGATCATGTTCTTCACTGTGGCTTTAATCAAAGGCACTCCTGGATAGGTTTCTAAATGGATGGATGGAATTGCACTATTTTGAGAAAGAGGAAGAGTTCTATACAGCCACAGGAATGGCTGTGTGGAGAACCTGGGTGGTATCAGTTTACGACTAAAGATGCTGAAGGTGAGTGAAAGTCTGTTACCTCCAATTTAAACATGTTTTCTGGTTGCCATAACCTTTATGACTGAGAATTTGCACTGACAAATAAATTGTGTTAGTCTCTACATCAAATATATCTGTCTTTCTGGATTTGATGTTTATCTCATTGACTGAATTTGTTACTAAATGTTTATGGGTCTTCATCTAAGGCTACGTTCACACTGCAGTCTGAACAACACAGATCCGATTTTTTTTCCAATCCAACCCAGGCCACTTGGCTATGTGGTCCTGAATCCGATACGAACTTGGATTTTTTTCAATTCATCCGACCTGGACGTCATTAATACCCGACAAAGGTCACTATTCTGCATCTTGCCATGCAGAAGTGGCAAGAAAAACAACAACCATGGCAGATGAGGATGTGGAGAGCAGTAATTATGTTTAACCATATTAAAAAGATTGAGTTTTTATGGTTGGAAAAGACCGCTAGATGCGCGCCGGCACTACCATCCATGTTTACTTAAGAAACACAGAGCACGCTGGCCTGTGACATCATCACGTCCTATACTGCGCATGCGGGACACTTGCGTTGTATGACTGCAGTTCACACAGGAGATCACATACAAGTCGCATATATTAGGGAACGCAAAAAAAATCGGATTTCACACAAAAATCTGAATTGAGTATAAAGGCCTGCAGTGTGAACATAGCCTAAAGGTCTGTTCCATGTTATAAATGTCTGTACCTGAGTAGCCAAGAGCGACAGGTTTAAAGCTTCCTGGATCACTGCACTGCAGCAGCGGAACCAGACGATGAAACAGGAGAATCTGCCCATTCTGCAACGCTGAAACACAGGCTGCATCATTCGCCTTCAGGTTGTTGATATGCCTGAAACGATCAAACAACCAGTGAGCCATGGAATTATTCAATTAATCAGATTGACTTGAGCTCCCTAACCTCATTCTGGACACGAAGCTTGAGCAGCATCGTGTCACATTATAATGTCCTGCAAAGAGGAGGATCCTCAGGGGTCTTAACAATGCAGACATACTGGACTGGCTCCTAATAAACTGAAACTGACAGCTATGAAGAGGATTGGTTTGGTTCTGTTGGTCTGTAGAATGAAAGCAGGGTAAAGTTAGCCACAGAGAGCAGTGAAGGTGCAACTAGTTGATGTTAAGTTCAGGAATCAACTGCAAGGGCAGTGTATAGGAAATCCACTCACACAGACCAATGTCTTCTTTTTGACTAACACAACTCACTGGAACACAAACTCTCTGTCATCAGAACCTTACAACACCGGGCCTAGCACGTCCCTACTAAAACAGAAGGGAAGCACAAAGAACAGAAACACATCAAAGATGCTCTTCAAACCTGTGGACACCCAAACTGAGTATGCGACAAATCATTAAGGAAATCCAAAAGACACAGCAGAACATAACGGTGAGAAGATTAAACAGAAGAACATCGACATCGCAGATGTATTTGGAGTCTCTGACAGGGTTCCTACAGCATAAGGCAAGTTAAATTCAAGACTTTTTAAGACTTTTTAATGCCACTTGAAATAAAAATTTAGACCAAATTCACAAGAAACACAAGAAAAACCTGCTTGTAACAACTTAACCCAAAGGTTTATTTTAACATAAACCAGTGCACTAATGTTTCACATGTTGAAAAGCTTCCCATACAGGAAGAAAGCTAAAAACACACAAATGACAGATATATTTTAACAATTATTTAACTGAATTCACAAACTTTGTTTTAGCAGGGAACAAAACAAATCAGTTTTAAAGCCACAACATAACCAGTGCTAAGTCTTTTTTGCAGCTATTTTTCTTTGTATCGTTTTCTTAGTATGTTTGATTTGGTGATAAGTGGAGGCGTTGCAGAGACAAGGGTGGAACTAAACTGAGAAATACCGGCTGTTTCTCTGTAACTCCATTTTGACGCTTTGTGTTTCGTGCTTCGCATGTGCGACTCCACTGCCTTAATTCCCATCGTTCTGAGCTTGAATGACTTCTTGCACTAAATCCACTGAGCCTCATGTATGTTCCCTGGTTTTAGCCACGGAGAAAACTCTTGGCTGGAGACAATTTTGGTTACATTTACACTTGCTCATATTTTCCAGACAAAAAGTTAATGGTGCATCTCCCAAATGTCCCGGCCGCAACAACGCTTTTACTGGTTCCACTATCAGGACGGAACCAATAATGGCGAAAAATAATCCTATTTAAGACTGATTTAAGACATTTTAATATCAATTAAGGCCTTAGTTTTATTTTGAAGAATTCAATGCCTTTTAAGACTTTTTAAGGACCCGTGGGAACCCTATCTGAAAAACTCAAGAGGATTTTCTCAAAACACAAAATCCCAATAATTAAAAAAAACAAACAAAAAAAAACCAAACAAGACCCTTAAAACAGAATATCTCTCCTGTTCAGCCAGAGCAGCAATTCCCCCTAACGACCACCCTTTAAGAGACATAGACAGGTATTTGTCATGATCGGTTCTCTAATGGAGACCCAAAGATGCAGAACACCACTGACGGACACAGGATGAAAAAGTTTAACAAGTTTATTTGCACAAGCACATAATATGCAGAAGACTGGTTCGGGCCTGGAATCTGGTTTCACCGGAGTCTGCGTGAGAGACAACACAGTTATGGACTGTTGACGGGGTTTGGTTTCCAATGGTGCTCTGATAGTACCTTGAGGGTTCTTGAGGTTCTCCTTGGGAGAGTCACTGTTGGTTCTGGAGAAGGATGTGTTAGCAGAGTCCGTTAGCTGCTTCAGCGTCTCACGTCTTATTTGAACAGACCTTGGCTTGGGTTTCCTAGCTCTTGCCCAGAGCTGCTTAGAGGTTGACTGAGAATCTTCAGGGTTTGGCTCGGAGGGTCGGCTCGGCAGGTTAGCTCTTCCAGAGCTTTCACGGAGGAAGCACGAGTCACCTAGAGGCACAGAGACAAACGTTAGAATCTGACTCGGGATTAAGGACATGGAAAAATCACTGAGATCAAGGCTTTAGCGCTGACCAACTGGAACAACACTGCGGCGTTGAGGTAAGGTCTGAAGGCAGCTTAAGTAGTGGATCCTCTGATGGTCTAGATGAGCTGCACCTGTGCAGGAGGCTCCCTCAGAGGATCCACGGCGGACTCTGCTGGAGAAAAATGGTATTTTCTCCAGCTCCCAACAGTACCCCCCCCTCAACGACCGCCCCTTGGCGGTCCGGAGGAAGTGGATGGACGGGAACGCTCGTATTCCTCGATCAGGGCAGGATCGAGGATGTACGAGCCTGGGACCCACTGACGATCTTCTGGTCCGTAGCCCTCCCAGTCGACGAGGTACTGCCAACCGCGACCTCGTCGACGGGAGTCTACAATACGGCGGACCGTGAAGGCTGGATGGCCATCGACTTCCAGGGCGGGTGGTGGGGAGTCGGATGGCGGGCACAAGGGGCTCGAGGAAACAGGCTTGATCTGGGAGACATGGAAGGTCGGATGGATTCGGAGGGAAGGAGGAAATTGGAGACGGACAGCTGATGGGTTGATGACACGGGAGATTTTGAATGGGCCTATGAATCTCGGGGAAAGTTTTCGAGACATCCCCTTGAGGGTTATTGGACGTTAGACAGCGGAGAGTGGATTCCAGATGCTGGTTCATACGCTCGGTCTGGCCATTCGTTTGGGGATGGTAACCTGAGGTGAGAGATGGCTTGCAGCCGAGCGCAGAACAAAAAGCCTTCCATACCTGGGATATGAATTGGGGACCTCTGTCCGATAGAATCTCCTGGGGGATGCCATGAAGCCGGAACACATGTTTGATAAGAAGCTGGGCTGTCTGGAAGGCCGTGGGAAGTTTTCTCAGGGGGACTAGATGGCAAGACTTAGAGAAACGGTCGACAATGGTTAGTATGGTGGACATACCTCGGGAGACAGGGAGACCGGTGACGAAATCAATGTCTATGTGGGACCATGGACGCGAGGGAACAGGTAGAGGTTGAAGGAGACCAGAAGGAGGTTGATGCGAAGCCTTGTTGCGAGCACATGTGAAACAGGCCAACACATACTCTCTAACATCACGATGGAGCGTGGGCCACCAGAAGCGCCTGGAGATTAGAGCGACAGTCCTACTCACTCCTGGATGGGCGGAGAATTTTGCGGCGTGCATCCACTGGATCAGACGGGACCTGACAGAAGAAGGAACATATGTGCGGTTAGACGGACCGGTACCTGGATCTGGTTCGGTGGCTAGGGCTGAGTTGATTAGGTCCGTTATTTCCCAGTTGACCACTCCAACGGTGCATGAGGCTGGGAGGACAGGTTCAGGTGTCTCTGGATGATCGGCAGAGTAGAGACGAGAGAGAGAATCGGGCTTCACGTTCTTGGATCCGGGTCTGTAGGTGATAATGAGGTTGAATCTGGAGAAAAAGATGGACCACCTGGATTGGCGAGGGTTAGCTTGTTTGATTGACTGGATATGAGCCAGATTTTTGTGATCAGTCCACACAAGGACCGGATGCTCAGCTCCTTCCAGCCAATGCCTCCATTCCTCCAACGCCAGTTTGATTGCCAGGAGCTCACGATCACCCACATCGTAATTTTGTTCAGCAGAGGAGAGCTTACGGGAAAAATAGGCACAAGGGTGTATTCTTTGATCTGAGTCGTCCTTTTGGGAGAGAACAGCTCCAACACCGGAATCTGAAGCGTCCACCTCAAGGATGAATTGTCTCGAAGGATCAGGTTGAATTAGCACGGGTGCTCTGGAAAACATAGATTTCAATTTCTCGAATGCAGCTTGGGCCTCGGGAGTCCACTGAAAAACTCGTTTGGAAGAAGTTAGAGATGTTAAAGGCAGGGCGGTTTGGCTATAGTTCCTGATGAAGCGGCGATAGAAGTTAGCAAACCCTAAAAACCTCTGTAATTGCTTTCGATTCTCAGGTACTGGCCAATCTAGGACTGCCTTGATCTTGTCCTCAGAAGGTTTTACCTGGCCGCCCTCGAGCACAAACCCCAGAAAGGTGACTGAAGACTGATGAAATTCATATTTCTCGGCTTTCACGAACAGCTTATTCTCCAGTAGTCTCTGTAGAACGAGACGGACGTGTCTCTTGTGTTCATGGAGATCCTTGGAATAAATGAGAATGTCATCAATGTAAACAAACACAAATACGTTGAGGAAGTCTCTGAGAACATCATTCACAAGGGCTTGGAAACAGGCTGGGGCGTTAGTCAAACCAAAGGGCATCACCAGGTACTCAAACTGGCCCAAGGGTGTCTTAAAGGCTGTCTTCCATTCATCACCCTCTCGAATTCTGAGGAGGTGATAAGCATTTCTTAAATCCAGCTTAGTAAAGACAGTTGCACCCTGCACTGGTTCAAAAGCTGAGGCGAGAAGAGGCAGTGGGTATTTGTTTTTAATAGTTATTTGGTTCAAACCTCGATAGTCAATGCATGGCCTCAGAGAACCATCCTTCTTGCCCACGAAGAAAAAACCGGCGCCCAGAGGAGAGGATGAAGGACGGATTATTCCAGCAGCCAATGATTCGTTGATGTATTTCTCCATAGTCTCTCTTTCTGGTTTGGAAATATTATACAGTCTGCTGCTTGGAAGAGGAGCACCGGGTAAAAGTTCTATGGCACAATCGTAGGGTCTATGTGGAGGTAGGGACGTCGCACTGACCTTACTGAAAACGGGGGCTAAGTCGTGATACTCAGAGGGAACAGAAGAAAGGTCAGGAGAGTCCATCTCCCCCCCACCTCTAGGAGGCCCCGCCATCGGGGCAGCAGAACGAAGGCATGTTTCGTGGCACGTAGTAGACCATGATTCCAGGAGACGTTTGGTCCAATTTATGTGAGGGTTATGCTTCTCCAACCACTCGAATCCGAGGACCAAGGGGGAACATGCAGAAGGAAACACAAAAAAGGTGATATTTTCTCGGTGGTTACCTGACAGAAGTAGCTCGAGGGGCTGGGTTTGGTGGGTAACACGATGGAGTCTCTTTCCGTCTATGGCAGACACACTGAGAGGCTGAGACAGGGGAATGGTTTTAATCTGAAGCTGCAGGACGAGCTCAGAGTCGATTAGATTGCGCTCACAGCCTGAGTCGATGAAGGCGGAGAAAGAGAGACTCTGGTTATTACAGAACAAAGTAGCTGGCAGCAAAAGTCGAGGAGATTTACTTGAATTTATATGGCCCGCCAGACTCCTCATATCCTCTGGCGGGCCCCGGCTTTTGATTTTGCCGGGCAGGAGGCGATAAAGTGACCACTCTCACCACAGTATATGCAAAGTTTTCCAAGAAAACGCCTCTGTCTCTCCTCAGGAGAAAGCCTAGTGTGTCCCACCTGCATAGGCTCATTATCCCTTTCGCCTGAATGAGAGGCCTGA